GAAGTTGGCCGAACTGTGACCATTTTCTTTTTGTAGCTTTAATCTGGCAGTTTCCCACTGCTTCAGGGCTGACACAGCCTGGAGTGAAGGGGCCAGGGAGGGGGGGGTGTAGAGATAGCTGGGGTATTGTAGCCAAAATAAAATTCTTTCCCCTGGGAATCATAGACCTTGGTGCAGGGGTTCAAAAGGTGAAGACTGAAGTCATCTAACAACTGGACTACATGCTGATTGGACCATTTGATTGATGACTCTGGGGGGAAGTGGCCAAATTTTACTTTTAATTGGGTGTATAACTGGATGGGAACTTAGAGCTGGTTTTCCACCAAGAATATGCCAATTTGATATGTCCCAATAAGATGTTCTTTGAGAAATATGCCTGCCTTGGATTTCTTATTGAATGGGATGTATTACTTGGAACCTTGACAACTGGTAAGTCTAATTTCTAAATAAATAAGAAATTTGGACACTATATAACAATACCTTGTCATGTCATTAAATGAGGAAGCTTTAAGATATCATCAAGTACACCAATATAAAAATAATATTGCCCTCATTGTTCTGACACCATCCAAGCACAACCGCATAGGATGTAAATGTATTATGTTTCACCATCATCTGCCTTCAAGGCTCAGTGAGGTGGCTAATAACTGGTGTGATCAAGGTGTTTTGGGGAGTTTGGGGTGAACACAGGTATGCCATTTCCCTTCTTGTCACTAGCTAGCCATAATCATTTCTCTATGTTCACCCTTTACATTAGTACTTCTTTCCTGAGCTCCTTTTACATCCATTACCTCTGCTCTGTTTTTATGTCAACCTGTCTTTAGACTTCCAACTAATTAGTGAGATGAAAGCTCACTTCCCCTATTTCATCTGGAGAATGAAAGTATGTGTATATTTGTGCTATGCACTTTCCCAGATATATTCTGAAATGTATCTTTGGTCTCAGAGGTGATAGATTGTTTTACCTCACAGAAATGTCCAGAAAGGCTAAATTGGCCTTTGTTGCTTATTTAGCAGTTTCCCTATAGTTTCAATCACCTCTCTCCCCTCCCTCCCCCAATAAGAGAGTTGTAGCTCAGCAGCTAATCAGTTTCCATTTGTGTTAAATATGTTTATTTAAAGTTTTTACATGCTGTCTATGTGCACAACATCTCTGATAATACAGATGCCTATTTCAACAACAACTCTGGGTGGTGAACCATAATAAAAAAATAAAACAAATACACATGCAAAAATTAGAATGCATGCCAGCCAAGAAAACCAACATTCCCATGGCTAGGAGATGGGTCCCTTCACACACTTGGGGTCTAAAGACACAGACAGGTCTTTAGGATCTTATGAAAGGCTAGTAGCAGGAGGGCAAACATACCAGAGGGTGGGTGCCATGGCAGAAAAGAATAATCTTCTGGGCATTGCCAGCCTACATACCAGAGGTGGTATTCAGCAGGTTCTGACCAGTTCTGGAGGACCGGTAATGGAAATTTTGAGTAGTTCGGAGAACCGGCAGTAACTTTCCTCCAGGAGTGGAGAGGGAATGGAGTTTTTGCAGTATCCATCCCTGCCACTCCCACCAAGCCACACCCACCAAGTCACACAATGCCCACCAAGCCATGCCCACAGAGCCAGTAGTAAAAAAATTTGAATCCCACCACTGCCACATACCTTAGCTGATAGGATCCAAAACATGCACATCCTGCTGGACTCATACCAATTTGCATATTAAGAGTAATAGATCAACTGATGATGCTATGTTTATTGTTGTCCATACTGTATTGAATCATTTGAAACAACAGGGAACTTACGCAAGGCTGTTATTTGTGGATTATAGTTCTGCCTTTAACACCATTCTACCCAACAGGTTGTTTCTTAAGATGTCCAGTTTGGGTATAAATCAGAAGATTTGTTTGTGGATTAAGGATTTTCTGACAGATGGGCCACAGCCAGTAAGGATGGGATCTCACCATTCCTCTACTCTGATACTAAGCACAGAAGCCCCCCAGGGTTGTGTGCTAAGCCCCTTCCTTTATTCTTTGTACACACATGACGGCACCCCATTATATAACACCAACACAAATATTAAATTTGCAGATGACAGTGGTAGGTCTCATTAATAAGAACAATGAGTTTGCTTTATAGAAAGGAAGTACAAGGGCTGACACCAGTGGTGGTATTCAAATAAAGTTGCTATCGGTTCTGTGGGTGTGGCTTAGTGGGTACACTGTGCACACGTGCACACTTTGCATGCACGCACATGCCAAACGTGCACTTTGCGCAGGCGCAGAGGCATTTTAACTCGCCTCCTGAAAGCCTGCATGATGCTGGTCGCTGCAGCAGCTGCCACATGGCGCTATTCAATGCTTCTGAGATTTATATTATGTTATATTATGTTATGAACTTGAAATAAAAATGAATTTTCTTTCCTACTTCTTTGCCCTTTTGGAATTTTTTTCCCGAGATAGAAAAAATAATACACAGTAAATATATTTTTTCAAGAACAACTACATACAGTCTAGGCTTCAAATCTAACTGAAGCATGTATTCCATTTGTTTTGTTTAGCAATTGCTTATCTTTCAAGGGAACAGGTTATTCTGACACTCAAAAGAGATAGTAACACTGTACAAGATATTCATCTGGTTAATCAATAAAAATGCTTATTTGTTACACAATAGCCATATTCATATATCTTAGTAAGTCAGAAGTGGGAAGAATTCTGATTTAATATGAATTTTCCAGATGTAGTAGAAGAAAATCCATTATTTCCATTATTTGCCATGATGTGTGAATCCAGGATATCAGGCAAGACACCCTAACGTAAGTTAAATGCTAAAGAAATTTAGCACTATTACAAAGAAATAGTTCATTACACAATATATTGGCCTTTTTCACATCTAGGAGAATATGCTGATTTTGTACAGGCATGTCTCCTTGTACCCTCTTACCATAGTAAGCTTTGAAAGTCATGTAGAAACTTGACTCAACTCGGCTCCCACTCCAGAAGAAATGCTATGAAGGCTCTTTCACAGCATTTTCTCTAGAGCTGCATGGTTGATGGTTTCCCAATGATGGAAACTCTTGTCCTGTCTAACTATCCCTATATGAATATTTCCTTTAGTAATAGCAATAGCATTTAGACTTATATACTGCTTTACAGTGCTTTACCGCCCTCTCTAAACAGTTTACAGAATCAGCATATTTCCCCCAACAATTTGAGTCCTCATTTTACCCACCTTGGAAGGCTGAGTCAACCTTGAGCCTGGTGGGATTTGTACTGCCAAATTGCAGGCAGCCAGCAGAAATAGCCTGCAGTACAGCACTCTAGCCACTGCGCCACCACAGCTCATTTAATCAAAAAGTGTGGAGTTACTGACAGTTCCCCCAATGAATGGAGCCCAAATTCCCAACATTTGTTATATTTTTTGGGAGGTTAGGGCTCTGAAAAGCTTAAGTTTCTGCGAGGCTCAAAGCACTGTTTTATCCCTTAGAATTCTTGAACACCTTCCCAAAGCAGCCCATATCCATATTTATTTTTGACAAGGGCCATCACCCAAAGCTAAGTAATCTTAAACTGACATAATTTGTGCACCCCTAATTCAATGTGTATGTGGACATAAAAGAACATAAGAAAACAAGAAGGGAGAATGTCTGCACATGTATATATATGTTTCAGTCCCATTTCTTTATTTCCTCCTAAAACCAAAATTTCTAAGATTTCATCTTAATAATCTCATTCAATTTTTAATGCAGCAGGATTGTGGAAGAGTGCAGCTTTTGCCCATTTTTCAATGTACTATTATGTAATCTTCTATAGCACTATTTTCCTCTGTTGCATGCTTTGGAGTTTTGAAAGCCAAGTTGACCCAATATTTCATGGTCAGCCAAAGAAATCCGTATGCCAGTCAATTTATAAATCTTTACAGAGAATTTGTGGACACTGTTTGTGGCTGGGGCCAAAACTGTTCTTGAAATATGATTTTGGAGGGTGTCAGAGTAAAAAAAATGTATCAATGAAGCCAGTTGCCAGTTCCCACTGGAAATACTTCTTAATTTTTTGCATTTATTTGCCTGCCATTTTTACCTGCACATGGATTAGAGAACAAACAAAAGTATACAATTCAGGAGAGTAAAAAAATTGAAATGGAAATGGGCTGGTCACATAACAAAAAGAACTGATGGGAAGTGGACCAAGGCAATCAGAGAATGGCATCCATGAAAGAAACCTAAAACAAGATGGATTGATGACATCAGCAAGTATTACGGCCCCAATTGGAAAAAGAAAGCTCAGGACTGCATTGGTTGGAAACATGCGTAAGGGACCTTCATCCTGCAGTGGATAGACAATGGCTAAAATGATGATGATGATGATGATGATGATGATGATGATGATGATGATGACCTTGCCTTTTTACGGAGGTCAAGGTGGTATACTTCAGAGATCTCAGAACAACAACTCTGAAGCTGAGAGAGAATGACTGGTTCATAGCCATTCTGAAAAATTTTGGTTTAGTAGAGACCTGTATCTAGCTTTCCTTGTCCAAATTCAGGACTTCAGCCACAACAAAATACCTAGTGAAATACCAATGTGAATGTGGAATTGTAGTTCACACCTAGTCCACTAAAAGATATTTGTGAAAGTTGATCATCCATGGTTCCTTCTGAATTATTCTCAAATTTATGACGTTTAGCAGAACAGAAAAAAAGAGGTCACTGAGCCATTCTAGAATTGTGCAAAATGTAAATACAGATATTTTAAATATGTTCAGCCAATATAAATACACAGTGTGCTCTTTTACAGTTTATTTTAGATAATAAAAGTAATCAGACAGTCTCCTGATTCATTAAACTTACTCTGGAAAGAACTCAACAATCTTGAGACACTTATATTCCCCCCCCCTCCCCTCTTTTTTTCAGTCTGAGATAATCCAATCACAGTCAATGTTGTTTTTCTCCCAAGGTATATTTAGGGGGCTCTTTGGTATTGACCTTTCTTTATTCTAGTTATCCGTAGATGAGCTTCCCAGGAAGGAAATAGTGGTGAGTATATAGATATTAGAGATGCTGTTAAAACAAAATCAGACAGAATAGCATCATTTTCCAAAAATATACTAGGGGAGAAATAGAAACTGTAAGGAAAACAGATAAGAAAAGATAATATGTGAATGATATACTCTTCAAGTTATCTGAATATTATTGAACCAGTTCAGGAGGAATGCTTGGGTAACAGTAACTATATATGTGGTTATTCAGCTGTTCCTCTTACATGCAAACCACATTGCAAAGCAACTTCCATCACAACAAAGTGTTGCATGTCAGAGATGAAATGGAAGCCTTCCACTGTTTAGAATATTAACTTTCTAGAATAGAGGGTTAAAGAGACAGAATAAAATATTTGACATTGTGCTAAATAAAACTCTGATTGCTGCCAAGAAGATTCTTCCAGATGACATTTAACTGTAATTTGAAGCCAGTGTAGATATACTGTTTGACTAATTTCAGCAGGCAAAAAGGCCCAGTAAAATGGTTCCTCTGGGGATTATAAAGGATAACATCTCAACACCCAAAATCAGAATGAGTTCAGGATCATCCTTGTGACTGATGGACTTGTGTTGGGTTAAACCAGTACCTTTTTCACCCAACATCAGCATAAGCTTCTAATGATGCCTACAGGATTTATCATACATAACAAGGGTTAAATGTTCTCCCAGTAACAGCAAGCCAGCTCTTTATAGCTGAAAATCAATACCTCTTTTTGCATTTTAGCGAAGCCTGTCAGTGATTCCATTCATGCCATAGTAAGATGCAAAATAATTTCCATCCGCCATTTATTTAACTCCTATATTTAACTTAACTGACATAAAACTTTTAGTAGATGAAGATATTTCTCAGTTCTGCCTGTCAGTAATAATGTGAGTCCATATAATTTAAGGGTTACTCTCTAGCGAAGCTAATGTTAATACGTTTGATTTGACAAAGTTCTAATTATTTTGTTTATTTTCTTTCCAGAACCTAATCAAGACTGCAATTTCAGCAGTGATGGGGAGCTTCTCAAATGGGCCTTTAATTGTGCTCTGTTTATTGATCTCAGGATCTGCTAAAAGTAACAAATTATTATCTTATTGTAATGTTATTAAATGTACATATTAATGTGATGCTAAAAATTAATTTCTATATTTATAAAATTGTTGCATTCACTCTTGTTGTTCCACTAATTAAAGCTTACTGGAATTCAAGGTTTACCTGACTTCCTAGATCAGGATAAGTCCTGGTTTGCTTAACCATGGTTTGTTAAGTAAGCCACAATTGGCTAAATTCACACATCCTGCAATACCCAATGTTGGCTAGGGGATTCCACACATCTTAAAGTTGTCAAGGTTGAGAAACTATGATGTATAGGTAGTCCTCTTTACAATTTTAATGGAGGCTGCCCGTCAGGTCATAAGTCATGACGGTCATAAAATAGGTTAGTCTTCCCAGACTCTGATTTTACAACCTTTTTTACAGCATTCGGTAAGTGAATGTAGCCATTGTAAACTGGCTGCCACAGTCATTAAGTGAAAATGTGGTTGTTAAAGAAATCAATAGTTTCCTGTGGATGCAATTTTGCCAAACGCTGGAAGTGTAAGGCTCTGCAAATGACTGTAAATATGGCCATGTTACCACGCATCTGAAACCCAGTTATGTGACTAAGCAATAGGGAGACTGACTGCTGAGATTTTGATTCTGGGTCATAAGTACCCTAAGGTAGTTCCATTGTAACTTTAAATGGTCACCAAGTGACCAGTCATACATAAAGGACTACCTAAAGTCAATACAGAGTATATGTGGATTATTGATCTAATTTTGTATAAAATAATTTCATATGTATTTTAATCTTTCCTGCAGAATATTCAACTGAAGAAAAATTGAAGTATAAATTTTGTAAACATTATGTGGAGATTGGACACCTTACAGGGGACCTGAAGCCTATGACATTCTGGCATGTGGACTGTCATGATCAAGGTTAATAGTTTCAATAGGAATATTCCTGAAAGTCAGGGCTATCAAACTCATGGCCTGCAGGCTGGATGCGTCACGCGCTGGCCATGCCCTGCCCAGTTTAGCGAAGTGGAAAAAAGTCCCGATACGTCACATGATGCTGCAAGTTTGACACTCCTGCTGTAGGTCCTCTGGAAAAGAAATAGGTAGTTGTTTAGCAACATTTAAAAAAGGAAATGTGGATTAAGGATTATGCTTATAATATAAATAAAAAATCAACATATAATGAGGAAAACTATAATGCATGTTTTTCCTCAAGTCATTATTTGGGTGTTAACAGTAAAGAAGGAAATGTCAACTCCCAAGAAAGATAAAACACATTCATTAGCTATATGTTCTTTTAATTATATCCAGAATATTAATATGTTGAAAGTTCTTTGAAAAGGGAATAATTTTCTAGGAAGCCCAAAATCTGCCTGGCTCAAATATTTTAAAAGCCTTGAATTATGTGTCAATTCCAAGAGAGTTAATTAAACCCAGATGAGATTAGCAAATCTGTAATACAAAGGATAGCGGATAGTGGGATTGTGGTGACAATCTTTTTTTTTTTTCCAGATTATTTTCCTCTTGGAGACATAACTGCACAAGGTAAACGTAAACCTCATAATAGGGCGGTAATAGTGAAGGATGAGAATAATGGCCTTCTGGGACGTCCTAAAGGTTTGAGGTATTTAAATGTAGAAGATATAACATATTGAAGATTAATATTTTGTTTACTAATCCTAAATATACGATAACTTGCCTGCCTGAAAAAGATAGGCCAAAAAGCTTTGGCAAAGAGGCTATAGGTGTTGCCTGAAAAACTTCTCTGAGGATTCAAGAGACATGAGGAATACTGTTGGATATGGTGCCCAATGAAGTCTCTCCAGTTTTCTTTTCCAGGCTTAAACATGGCTAGTTATTTATTTATTTATTTGATTTGATTTGTCAATCGCTTACAAAATAATAGATATAAGTATAAACATGAGTAAGAATACAGAAAATAGGTACAATTAAATGGGGACAATAGGACAGGGATGGGAGGCACGATGGTGCACTTATACGTAAGATTTCATTTGGAGACCTCCTACTGCCCCAACTGAAAACTTCACAGGACTAATTGGAAATTCTATTCTATTCTACTCTATTGACTGTACTCTAACCTACTCTACTCTATTCTTTATATTTAAGAATTATATTATTTCTTTTGACAATGCAGTTAACTGCATTTCTAAAGCAATGGCATGGCCCAGAAACAATACACATATACATACATATGACATTGCACTTTTCATTTCTTGTATGTAAATGTTGGATTTGCATCCTATTCATTACACTTAACAATTTTTTAAAACAACAATAGAAGAATGCGACCTTGACTTTTCATTTCTAATAATGGATTTTATATCTTGAATTTTCAGAGAAATCTGGAGAAATTCAGGCAATAACAATTTTACAGTTTTTGAGATGGATTGTGAACATGGGTTTAAAGCCTTAGGAAATGTAGTTGTTAAAGGCTCTAGCCAGCTTCCTGATCTGCATAATTACAGGTAAGCCTGGATGTCAACTTTCTTTTTTTAATGATTGTTTTTTTTAATTAAACTATTTTAATGAGAATGAGGGTGTTATCCATTCGGTTGTGTCTGACTCTTGGTGATTCTATGGGCTGGGTCTCTCCACATCTTCTTCCTGTCTTGTTTTTTTAAGGTCCAACTTTCACAACCATAGATAGCTACAGGGAACACAATAGAGTGGACTAACCTATATTTGGTTTTAATGATACTATTAAAATAATATAACAAGACTTCAATAAAGGATTGAAGAATATAATAAAGATACTTCATAAATTAAAACTCAAAGACCAAATCATAATGAAAGCAAATGCTATGAAAAATGTGTGAGTTGAATTTAGTCTCCAAACTAGATTAGAAAAATAATGGGTAGATATAAAATAAAATAAAACACTGGGGTGAAAGTAAAAAAATAAATGCTTAACATTTTGAAAAAGAACTTGGAAATTTATGATGATTGTTTTTATTATTCTTTCATCTAATTTTTCCTCCAAGGAATTCAAAATGGCAACACAATTCCCTATTTTAGCCATACTTATTTTACTTACTCCTGTAAAATAGATTATGATGAGAGATAACTCATCTAAGTGAGATTCACATATAATGCTAACCTATTATTTATTTTGCCGTAGTTTGTAAGCTAAACCACAACTGACTGGATATGCATAATATGCTGAATCAAGCTACTGTAGTTCATAACACAAACTATAGTAGCTTGATTCATACATTTTGCTTCTAAAACCGGGGACACTTGCAGGGAGAGTTTAACTCAACACTCTCACTTCACAAATCTACACATCTGTAGGCAAACCTTATTTCCTACACATGTCTAATAAAGTCAAAGAATATCCTTGTTGCAGCAGTCACTGCTAGGTATCGTCTTTAGGAAGGAATGGACTTAGTTACTGTTATCGTAAATCATTGATATGTGTTCTGTTTCAAAACATATCTCAGCTTTGTTCAAGATTCTAGCCTTCTTGGCAGTAGAAAGGTTCCTAATGAAAATGTAGCTATACCGCATTAATCAATCAGTTCCAGAAACTGGTTCCACAATAAAAAGATTTGTGGAATGAAAAACAGTAGCATTCTGCACCCTCCAGAATTTAGGCTAGAATCCTAGGATCAACTTGGATGGAAATATTTTCAGAATAAATTTGAGACAGCAGGCTTCTCCACTTTCATATGTGCAGTACAGCCTTGTGTGTCAGGTAGTGCTAAGTTTACCTTATACATCCAAATGCTTTTATATATCCAAATGCTTTTTGATAAGTTTACCGTATATATCCAAATGCTTTTGAAAGATACAAAAATATAATCCATGCCTGGTTGCTAAAAGCCAGAAATTAGCCACAAAGTTACTTCACATATTCTGAAACATTCTGGTCTGGAATAGTTTCCCTATACCCAGAAGCCACATATTTCCACTCATCTGCAGGCTAAATGTTATGATTCCAATTTATGCCCTTATTGTTTAGTGCTTGTGGCCATCATCCATAATTCAGACCATTATCCATTTCTTAACATAATAACCTAGAACAATAATTTATCTTAAACGAATAGACACTACAAGTTAGAATGAATTCTGAATTCTTGTTTAAGAAGCACAGTAGGTAAGATATTATTACAGTTATGAATAAAATAGACTTTAAAAAGTGCATTGTAAATGGATTGATTTTTAGATGCGTCAATGAAACTATATTAGTAAGAGGAAAACTTCGCCCAATCTGGGAAGAGATTGGTCATGTAAATCGTACAAATATTGGAGTTTGGGAAGTTGCAACAGATCCTTATGTAGCATCAGGTAAATCTATTCAGTATTTCTACTTAAATTAAGAAGAGGAAGATTATGGAGAAGTGGATCCTTTAGTTTGATAGACAAAGATGTTATATACATTAGCTGCTTAAATCCTGTTTGACTGATGTCAGGTAACTTTATTTTATACCCTGAAAAAGTCATTGAACTAAGAAGGCGTAATGTTTCTGTATTTAAAATATTTTTTTGTTTTATTTTGTGTGTTAAGAGAAGTGAATGTATTTGGCTAATTTAGAACTTGTACCACATATAGCCATTGAAGAGCTATAAAAGAGCTAATAAATTATGACAAAGGAACAGAATTTACTTTTGTAAAATATTTTCAATAATGGAAACAGAAATAAGAAATGACAAAATGCTTTTATTATGGAGAAAAACCCATATTTCACTTAAGTTTAGAAAACCAGTCTAGAAAGTTCAGATTCAGTCTATGCTCAAATTTAAGAGCTCGGTGGTAATCCCTGTGCCTGTTTATATTAACTAAGCTTCTTTGTTCCAAAATTCTAAGCAATATTTCACATTATTACAAGATAAATATGCAGATTTTTAAAATAATTGTTATCCTCTGCTTTTAGTGAAACATATTAAGTACTTTTTAGATCAACTATAAATGTAATTCTTGTACAAAGTTCTAAAAAGATGTAATTAATTAATTACTGTGTGTTTAGGTAGCATACCCATCTGGACTTTTGTATTTGGGAACAACCACAATATTAAAGATAAAATTGTCTACGCTTTGAATCGGAATAAAGTGAAGAATGATAAATATGCATCTATCCAGTTGATGAAAAAGAACGAGAATGGTAAGTTTGCAAAGGAGAGTATTGTGTTCTGCAACAACATTTGAATTGTGTGTTGATTCTTTCAGGCATAATCCTAAATAAAATATGTTGTGCAGAAGAATGTAGTCTAAGCATATTTTATTTCTGCTCAAAGCACTTTCTGCCAGCTAACACTAAGAAGAGAGAAATGCTAGCATTGATGAGTTACCTAGTTTGGGTACTGAAATGTCTGCAAGAAAACAACCGAGCTCAAAGACCACCAAGGACCCTTCATTTCAACCCTTACAAATATTATCCTTTAAAGATAGAAAAACAACCAAGTGATATGATGTCCAAGACCAAGGCAGATATTCATAACTGATATCACTCTTAAATAGGCAGCAGATAAGGCTATTTGGTTTTATCAATGAGAAAAATGGATAACAATATAATTAACAGAATTATTACAAGACAAAAAGTTCTAGAGATTGTACAGTATTATAATGGAGTCTTACTAAATTCTGTGAATATTTAATTTGTATATAAGATACTAAATATTAGAATTATAGTATTAATTAATGCCATTAGAAAATATTTTAAACTACTCTACTACTATCAAAAGATATTTTGATAATATATACTGCTAGGAAATATTTAGATCTGCCACCTAAAATCTATAGAAAGCAAAATTATGGAGAGACTGAACCTGTAATTGCTACCATCAAATGCAGTGTTTAATAATAAAAGAGGTACAAAATAAAGCTATCATTTTATTCTAGGCTTTTTCAAGAAATTTGGATTTTAACTCCCAATATTTTCAGAAATGTCCATGCTGTCTGGGAATTTTAGGAGTTTGCCTATACTTTTAGAGGGCAGCCAAATTTGAAAGTCCAGAGTTATAAGGGTGGCAATTATTAGAATAAAATAATATTTGAATCTTAATCTGGGTACTAGTGCTCTTTATTTTCAGAAGAGGGCACTAGCACTACATACTAATTATAAGAATATTTATTAAGGAATTCAACATTTGAAATATTAAGGAAAATTTTAAACAAAATGTATACAATAGCAAAATTAAAACACATTTTGAATCAAGATAATTTGATTAAATATTTGGGAAGAAAGATCTCTCATGAAATCTGGAGGTAGACATGAGAAAGTGTCGACTTATAGACACCCTAAAATAGAATGTACAGTCAAATGCTACTAAACCAGAAAAAGTTAGAATCTCCACCATTCAAAAGGCTGGGGAAAGGATTTGAGTTCATTTCTGGAAGTAGACTTATGGAGAGTTAAATGCTCTTCCCAAGGCATGCACTCTGTGTCTTAGGAGTGAGCTAGGAATTCTTTTCCTCTCTGTCAGATAAATGAAGCTCTGAAAGTAGAATTACATTGGGGAGTGGGGGCTAATCTGATAGTGCTTGAAGTCTAGTTCAGTATGGGGCACCCCTAATCCTCTTCGTATGAGTTTTGAATTGTTACTTTTTAATTTTTTCTATAAAATACTTTATCAAAATGTATCAAGTTATCCATATCAAAAGATTTGGCATATATCTCTCCTCATTAAACAAACTCTCTCCATCTGTTTCTAATAGAATGTCAAAGCTTTATCCTGGAAGCCTCAGGATTACTCTGGTTTAAATCAACCAGTGCGGGCTCTTTCTATGCTAATCACAGTTCTAAAAAGCATCAATATAAGATTGTTAGATTTGATCCCTGGTCATGCTGAACTTGTCTAGCATATAGCATGGATGCTTTCTTTCCATTAGCATTTTCTTTTAATAATGCCAGCTCATAATGGATTTTTGGGTTGGAATCAGAAGCATCTATAGACAAGGGAAGCAGAAAGTTAAGAAGATGGGTGTGCCTGTGCAACCCACACTTATCTGCATATGGTGCACACTAAAAGGGGTGTGTGCGTGGGAGTGATTGCATGGTTGCAGGGACAGTCCTGATTTTGATCAGTGCTTGGTAGATACGTCTGATTGTAATAATGCTATCGAATTGTTACAAGAATCTAAAGATCTGACTTCAAATATTTCTTTCAGTATGTGCTGACTTGGGATCTACGGAACCAACAGGAAGCCCTTTTATCACACTTGTTCCTGCATCCACTCTGTATCCAAGACCCCACATCTCTGATCCAAGTACATTTTGTAATGACAAACCTGATGGCAACTATGCTTATCCAACAAATCCACACAAATATTATAGATGCTCTAATGGGCAGACAGTAGTCATGAACTGTCCAGGAGGCTTTGTCTACAGTGCCATCAAGGATTGGCCAAGTGATTTGATTGTGGATAAGTTTTGTGAAGACAGACCTAATGGCAATTACAGTTACCGACCAGATCCACACAAGTACTATGCTTGCTGCGATGGGAACACTGAGCTCAAAGATTGTCCACCAGACCAGCTTTTTATTAACTTTGAACGCCAGTGTAGCTGGCCACGCAGATTTTGGTAAGAAGAAATGTATGGTTGCAATCATTCCTAGTTACAATTAACCTAAAAATTGTATTTGCTTAATGGATTCATGATTTGTTCAAAAACTCTTTATAATGTGATCACTGACAACTGCATAGTGCCAAGAGATATTCCTTTTAATATCTGGAATATAATAGCAACTAATTATCCTTATTTAGATATATGCTACATAAATGCTACAGATGTGTTTGAAAAGGCGTACTTCTTGCATAAATAGCTGAAATGATAAAATTGCACTAAATCAGTGTTAAAATACAGAAAAGCAGACTGATTTGTGGATTTTGTACCAATATCACTACTATTACTACTTCAGCATGTATGTTTGCTAAGCAGCTTTATGAACATATTATATGTATAAATATAAACATCTGATGAACATAATGGATTTCCCAAAGGAGAATATATTTAAGTAGGGCCCATATTTTGTAAAACCCTTGAAAATATTTGAAAAGGATAAAGATTTTAGGCAGACCAATATATCAAACCTTTTATCCCCAGAAATGCTACAAATGCATTGGATAAGAAATGTACAATTAACTTTCCCCAGGACCACATGAAACACTGGGACTGTTGTGGAGGGCTGCCCCCATTACCACTGCCCCCTGACCCCACCCTGTTCCTTTCCTGCTGCCATCCCTGTTGGCTCCCGGCCTAACAATGACACCTCCAACACTGCAGACTGGACAAGGACAACAGAAGGACCAGATGTGGTGTGTGAATTGTAAAATGCCCAGGTCTGCATTGGAGGGACACACGTTATAGCAACAAGAGTTGGAAGGTACCTTGGAGGTCATCTAGTCCAACCCTGTTCTTGTAGGAGACCCATACTATTTCTGATAAATGGCTGTCCACTCTCTTCTTAAAAGCCTCCAGTGATGGAGCATTTTGAAATACTCCAGTAACTCTTCAAGGCTTTCTATACTTGTTGTTAGTACTGATGAATCTTCAAAGTAAGCGGAAAAGCATAATTAACTCTCATGTCTGCTGATCACTTCATCTTCTTTAAATGTAGCAATGACATTTATTTTTTAATCTCGCTACTGTACCATGATACTGTTCTTAGTTGGAAGTAAGGAAAAGCAATCACCGTTTGGCTTTATACCTGATATGATAATTAGATTCTTTTTCCACTTCACATTCCAAAGCAATCTCATGCAAGTTATATAGGTAAATTTACTGTCGAAAATTAGGAAGTCCTACATACAGGAAATTACGCACAAGAAATTATCTAACAAGACCTTGAATTCTGACTCTCTCTTCCTATCTTTTCAATTCAACAATCATGTGGTCCTGAAAATTCCTGCCATCTTCCCCTTGTTTATAAAACAGCTTTCTCTGACATGAGAATATGCACTTCTCCAACTTCCAACTTTATAATTTATTGTAAATAAAAGTGGCAATTTATTGTAATAAAAGTGGCAATTGCAACAGTTTCCAAAGTGTGTGTGTGTGTGTGTGTATATCAAACTTTTAACTATCACTCAAATAAAAAAAAACCCTATTAACAGAATAACAGAGTTGGAAAGGACCTTGGAGGTCTTCTAGTCCAAACCCTGAAGGAAACCCTAGACCTTTTCAGACAAATGGTTGTCCAATCTCTTCTTAAAATCCTCCAGCACTGGAATACCCACAATTTCTGGGAGCAGGTATTATATCATGTCTCTTGCAACCTTATTAGATTTAACATTTCTAGACAGAAATGGAGAACCTGTCCTCCCTAATTACTGGAAAGGTTGAAAGATTTTCAAATCATTTCATACCATTCCTTCATTTACAGTAGCAGTGCTCAACCTGTCCGGCTTTGCGTGTGTGGATGGGGAAAGGGAATGGTTCTGCGTGAGCAGCATTTTTGGGTCATGTGCAGAGAACTTTTTCCCAAAGCTGGGTGGGTGATTTCATGGTGTTTCTGGTCATGTGCAGCGTGCATTTGGCTGGAGAGTCACAGCAATGTTTCCCCAAAGCAGACACCGATGCTTGAAAAGAGTAATGCTGAGAAGAGGGGTTTTTTTTTCCCCCAGTTTGGACTCCAAACTTTCCGGAACATGCAGCCCCATTTCCGCGGTACATTAGACCACAGTTAAATGAAGCTGCAAACTGCGATCTGTTTGATGGGCAAGGATTTGAATGCAACTCACTAACTCATAAGCACACCAACGTGCCTACCATCCTTGTGCTATTGTTTCTTTTATTTTTTTTATTTTTCTTATATGTATCCATGTATTCATAATTATGTTTTTACTTATACTTATTATCTTGTAAGCAATTGACAAAAATAAATAAATAAAAACCCTTTTTAGTTTGTAAAAAAGTTGACAACCCACCTCATTGCTTCCCAAAGCTGTCCTTATTTTCAGAGCAAGATACCTTCAAACATTAAGAAATGTGGCCTTTACAAGAAAAGTTGCAACCTTCGGTGAGGGTTTCCCATTTTGACACCCCAACCCCCTGCTGTTGCCTCCATGCAGTTGCCTCCAACTCCACACTCTGCTCATCACCGCCCCCCTCTGACAGCCCATTCACTCACTCGCCCACCCACCTGGCTTTCAATCCAGCACCCACAGTGAATTATCCCTACATCAAATTTCCAGTGTTGAGATGTCCTGCAAAGAAATCACCATCTTTTTGCAGCAAGTTGGCAGAGGGGACTTGGCAGGGGTGAGAAGGTTGCTCCCAGTTGGCTGCATCAAGCTAGCGGCGTTGAGTTGTCCCATATTAAGCCAGTCTTTTACAAGCAACCTTAATGAACTGAGCTTTATAGATAAACAGCATAAGCTTTGGCCAACTGTGCATTGTATGGAGCCTGTTCTTTTCAAACTACTTTCGGACAGGATGTTCCAAGATCAAGACTCAGTTTGCTTTTAACTCTCCCAAAATCAAATCCTTTCATTCTGTGAAGAAGGAACTGATATTTTTCCACCTGACATGAAAAATAAGTCATCTCATCTCATATTATGTATCTCTCCACCTTTGGTTACTAGTGTTCTTAGCGATTCCCTAATCAAAAACTTTGCTTCTGTATGGTGACACAGTGCTCCAGTCATAGCTGAGACATCTATGGAAAATATATATATATTACCCCAGATTTTGCTTTACCATCCCAAGGTACTGTACTTTGTAAGTACAGTACGAAGACATTGTAGCATTTATTTTCTGGACCATACTTCAACACATATTACTCATATATAAAATACAGGAATATGATACAATGTAATCTCAAAAATCCAAGTAACAAAGTTTTGAAATTTAAACTATAACATCTACAGTACCTGGCACACTATTCACTATCTCTCCAAGTAACAACAGGAAGCACTGAAAATAACCTTAACTCTTAAAAGCCTGGTGAAATAAATGTCTTTAATGATTCTGTAAATGGAAAGAAAGTGCAGGCCAAGCACAACCCAGGGAGATATTCCACAGCCCGAGAGCAACATAGATTCTCTCCTACATGCCATAAAAGCATGTCTCTGCCATGCGCCTCTCTTCATATCTTAATAATCACATGCGCCTCTCTTCATATCTTAATAATCACATGGGTTTGTTATATTTTCAGACACAACAGAATAGTTTAAAATATAAAAAGAGGGTCCATTAAACAAAGTCCATTAAACAAAGTGTTTCAGGCATGTGGGCCAGCATGCAAGAAATGGGGGGGGAAGGGAAGAAGCATAAAACAAAACAATTTTTGGTGCCTCAGAAATCATATCTTTTTAAGCTCAAGGCAAGGAACAGCAGAAGTGAGATTTTGGGAGCAGAGGAAGTGCAAAACAGTCACAAAATAAAGGATGCCCAGAGAGGGAGAGGAAAAGCTAGTGTGTGTGTGTGGTGGTAGTGGTGGTGGGGGAATCAAAAGCTAAAAAGTGAAATCTGTGTTCATGCTAAGGGGTGGAAACAGCAATGGTGAGCACTGATCAGGGAGAGGGCAAGATAGGTACTAGAGGCTTAGGAACACACTGGCAACCACAACGGGTGGCCTCTGAGGCGAATGGGCAATATGGGAAAAAAAGAAGGGAATAAGGGAAAAGGGCAAGAAATGCAATTATAATGCAATTATAATCCTACAACCATGAAGTGGGATTACAGGACAGAAAATAAGGCATATGGAGGCATGCCCGAACAATTGTGGATGATGAGCATAGGCTCTGGACACTTGGCTTAATTTTGCACTTTGACCTGGCAGACTGGGCCAGAGCATCTGTGACTGTTGCACCTGAAGCATCAAAAGATCTTGAAGCAGCCTTGTGCCCTAGATTTTTTTTGTGAGGTGGCGGAAATCCCACCTTAAATTCACTGATTTGTATAAAAAGGAAGTTTTGGTTTGGATGCAGTGATGGTAAAACAATAGATTTTCTGATGATAGAATATAAATGTCATGGTGAGTGAATGATTATTTGGGAGTTCAAATGTCCTTCATTCACAGGCACCAGCTTTTAAGGAATATGGGGATCTTGATTAAGAAACATTTGGCTCCAATATTGATTTTCAGGCAACCCTGAATGGAGCAAACAACTAGAAAAACTTTACTGTACAAGCCCAAAATTGTAATCCCTGAGCTGTCAGATTCTGTCCCTGGAGTTTTCCTTGAAAGGGTCCTTAAGACGCATTTTTCAGATGTTGAAAGTTTGAAACATTTTTACGTTTTCCCTTTTAAAATGGGTTTTCAAAATAGCGGTTACCTTTTGCCACGTTCTTCTTTTGAGTTAGTGTTCCTGAGGTTTTCCTCTTTTATACCGTTAAGTTTTGTTATGATCCTTTAGTTTTTAATTGTGACAAAAAGTTGTTCAGAGAACTTGGAAGGCAGAGAAATGAAGAGTTAAAAACGCTTTCCTCAATTGTACAGTGAAGAATCGTTACCTTGTTTTTTTCCTTAACCCCACCCACCCACAGCCATGCATCACTTTGAGACTCAGAGAACATACTCATAGTTCACCACCACCACCACCCCAAAAATAACTGGCTGCCGACCAAACCGGTTTCCGACGCCCCGCGGCTCCAACAGCCCGGGCCGGCATGCAAGAAGCAGCTAGGTCTAGCTTCCCACCGTGATTCGAGCTTCCCTTCTTGGGAGAAGAGGAGGCGGTCGTGTCCCCCACCCCTCCACCCCGGATCCGGTTTCTTCGCGCCCGCCCCTTCCCGCAGCGTCGGCCGGGCATCTGGAAGCCTTTCAGAAGGACGGCGATGGGGAGCTGGGCCCTGGCGTGGACGGTGCTTTGCAGCCTGGTCGCTGCAACCCTGGGTAAGGCCGGGCTGAGGGCCCGCGGCGCGGGTCCGGCGATGGCCTCTCGGCAGCAGGGGAATAGGAGTGAAGCGCAGGCCTGCTCCGCGAAACAAACGCTAGGTCTGCGCCTGGTCGGGGAAGGGTGGGAGTGAGCGATGGTGCTTGGCTGGGCTCTTTCTGGTTGAATCCGGTTTCTGTTTTGGAAACATTTTTCTATTCCCTCCTGAAAGTAAAGGGCGCTCCTGAGCATGTGTGAAATGCCCCATCACAGCTAGAAGAATTAGAAGGGGGAGAAAAAAACCCCTTATGATCCATCCCTCTCCTCTATCTTTGCTATTTAAGAGTGGGACATGCAGTGTTATTTTGCTGCCTTGATGTTGATGTCAGGGGAATAGTAGTGCTGTTTTCATCTAAAGCTGCGTTTATCTCTGTTGAGCTGGTCTCTATTTTTTTCCCCTGTTAGAAGAGACCCTTTGGATTGAAATCCTCAACTGAAATATCACCCTCAAATCAATTTTGGAAACTGGAGGACCAGAAAAATAATCATTAATTTAAAAGTCATACAAATAGGGGGAACTTCTGAGTGTCTTCCATTAAATTACACAGGAGCTGGGCAGAAGTGTTGGTATGGAATTTTGAAATGGGGGAAACAGTGCTTGACAATTACACACCAGAACTTTGTGACAGTTGGCCCCACTCCTTTGAGCAGTGCAAGCTCTTGAAAAGACAGAAATGCCTGCATCTAATCATAGTTGGGTCTATTTCTTTTTCCTGTCTTGTTGAAATGTTTATGGATGATGATTCTGTGTGAATTATTTTTGGCAGTGGTTAAAGGATGCTAACCTGATAATTATAGGAACCCGTGGGAGTTAAATAACCTGAATTATATGAGATTTAAAAATAAAGAAGCTATTTGTAGAAAGGTGAAATTGTGTCTGGACTGAAGAGACTTAATGTTTAGTGACTGAACATGTTGCTGTCTGCTACTCCCAATACTGCATTGCTGATCCTTGGAAAAGTGGAGTTACCTAACCAGATATAAAGTTGCTCTGATATGATTGCGCCAATGTTTTTTTTTTTTTGCTGATATTAGTTTTGACAGTATTATTTTTGTAATGTAGAACTTTTGCACTATGGGATTCAGTATGTTCAGAAAAGACATGTGCCTTTGAAAGTATAATCTAACATTTATGAAAAGTTAACAAATCAGGGAGATACCATAGAATAGTTTCCAAGTTAATGCTTTTAGAAATATAGATTTATAGATCTGCATAAAACATCTGTTCTAAAAGAATTAAGGCTAAGTTGGTCTGTGAAAGACCATGTGAAATATGCTAGTAATTCTAATCACTTATAAACTGAGCATATTAATTATCCTTATGTTCATGAACATAACAAGATGGTTTGTTTTTGGGAAGACCAACTCACTAGCTTCTAAGGCACCTTTTCTTAATCTACTGCAGTGATGGCTAACCTTTTTGGCTCCAAGTGCCCAAAGCACGCAAGTGCATGTGTGAATGTGTGCGTGCATGTGGAAACTCCCAAATGCAATGCGCATGCATCCCTGCACATGTGCCCCACCCCCAATGCATGTGCGTGTTCTCCCATGTATGCACATGCATCCCTGTGCATGAGCCGCACCCCCCCACATGTGCAGTAGAGACCTGAAGACTAGCTGGCAGGTGGGAGGCACGCACGCATGCGCAGCAGAACTGAGCTGGAGCGATGGCTCGTGTGCCCGCAGAGAGGGCTCTGTGTGCATCCTCTGGCACACATGCCATTGGTTCACCATCATGGATTGAGTGTATTCAGTGGTGGACTGCAACTTCTTTCATCCTCAGCAAGAATGAATAGAGATGGACTGTATCCTAATCCTAGTATACCAGATATTGTTCAATAAAAGAAAATAAAGAAATTGCGCATAAAGCTTCATGAAACCTATTTTATGATGAGAAATATGTTTTCAAGTATTGATGCTATGGAACATCTCTTGTTCTGAAAGTGGCCTATTCTTAGAGTATTGCTCCATATCTATTTGAGAACAATTAATATACACCAGTTATCCCCTAATTTTGCTAATTATGCTACTGTGGCTAAAATTGAATAAATTATTGAAAATATTTATTGGTTGAAAGTTACAACAGACAAAGGCTTTTTTTTTTTCTTATAAGAGAAAAATTGTGTTGTGAAAAGGAGAATACTTCATTATTCAAGATATAAGGATAATGAGGAAAAGTTTTTTTCAAAGTTCTGGCAGACAGTATAATTGACTTTTATGCAATGTGTCTAGCGATCCCATAGTTTCTTTGTTTTTACCTTATTTGTGAATTCTGACTATTCTGGTGGTTTATGACTTAAGGTATTATGTGGAAATATTTCAACATAGGGCGGTTAAAAATTCTGGCTCCTGCGGAATTTGCTTCAGGCAATTTTGATTATGATGTAGATTCAGGCTAACATTTTCAATAGTAGAAAGGTTTTTAAAAGGTATTTCAGACAAAAAAAAAATCATTTAAAAAACCCAGCTGACTTTCATCCAAGACTTAGTTAAACCACTGTAATAGATTTTCCCATTTGTTTATAACGGATATTGTACTTGTGTTAGATCTAATAACAGTTTATTAGATGATGAATATTTTTCCTCCCAAATAACTACCTCTGAGCTGAGGTATCATTTTACCTTCACTAATGAGTAGAAGAAGCTGTTGAAAACAATACATAAGCAAGAGGTCCAAATGGTGTCACTCCCTTCATCTGACAAAGCTTCAATACTAAACTGAATATTGATGCTGGGGGGCGGGGAGAGAATATTTGTGCAATAGCCTTCTTTCTCCTTGCTTTTTCTCTTAGCCCAGTTCATGCCTCATGCGCATCCAGTTTGCATCTCTATGTAGTCCCCTTTCTCTCATTTAATATTCATCCTGTTTCTCCTCTTGCTGAAAGGGCATGCACGTGTGCATACTTGCATGTTAAGTGGAAGTGGTTTATATGTGCGAGTTTATGTGGGGACCATTTAATGTTGTAAGTGGGGTGACTTATTTTTAATTTTTAATTATTAATTCAATTAATATAACTATAGTTTTGCTCCAAAGCAGCCTTTGGGGAGAGGAATGTTGCTTCTGGCAACCAAAGATGCACACACATATCTTGTGTGACATATGGAGTAATTTACTGGGTGGGAGGAATAAATTTCAAAGTTTGATTTTAGCTGATGTTCATAACCCTTAACAATGCAGAAAACTTTTGTCTTTTGTTTGGAATTTTCCCCTCCTATGCTTTGTTTGAGGATAGGGTTTTTTTTAATTTGAACTTTTGTATACAAAATATGTTTAGAATCCCTTTCTTTCTTTCTTTCTTTCTTTCTTTCTTTCTTTCTTTCTTTCTTT